AGAAGAAAGAAATATTTAACAACCAATAGCAGTAATTCAAAAAGGCCTATTTATTAAAAAAAAAATCATACTGTATTACAGAGTAGGTGATGAAGCATCCTGTCAATGGGATGGGATGCTTGAGAGAGCTGACTCTATTTTTCAATTTATCAGCTGGACTGGATATTTTAAAGTACTTTTTTTTATCCTGATCATGCATGTAAAATTGAAAGCCAGACTCAAATAACAACTTTGAAATGCCTTCAGAAAGCCAAAAAAAAATTATCAACAAAGAATATTTAAAAAGGTTAGAGGCAAGTCTACCCTTTGGGAAGAAAATATAGATGAGTCTGATGTCCAGGGATTAAGTTGTAGTATTTTTAATGAATGAACGTGCATCAGATGCTGCTTGATTTCCGTCATTTTCACCAGATGAACCATAAGCAGGGAAAGATAGACCTAGACTAGACTCAACTTTATTTATCTCTTGGGATTATTCCTTCTGGTTCCAGTAGCTTATATAGAGTTCAAAGAGTTAAAGCAACATGCAGTTAAAGATAAAAATATGAAAGACAGTATAAAAAGAGTGTATATAATACAAAAAAAAATAATAAAAGAAAAAAGTTGAAATGTCCTGGAATATGTTTGCCTTAGATATAACAATATCTGCACAATAGAGAGCTAAGGGTAGATTACACAGTAGTTGACTTGGGTTATTGCACATGCGCTGCAGAGATGCACTGAACTTATAAATAGGTTTAAAAAAAATCAAACAGTACTTGCATGTGTTATTGCACAGTGAGAAGAATATGGCCTGGTTCAGCTTTAGGTTTCTTCCCGTTAAAAGGGAGTTTTTCCTCTCCACTGTCGCTACAGGCATGCTTAGTGTGAAGGATTGCCTTTGAGTCCATGCAATCAACTGGTTTTCCTTAGATAGAAAACTTTGAATCAATCTGACTGGATGAACTGGTGAACTTTTAAGTGCCATGAGATGACATGTGTTGTGAATTGGCGCTATAGAAATAAACTGAATTGAAATGCTCATGAGTGACAATAGGTAATGTTTTGCACAAGATGTCAAAGGAGGGGGGTGCTGCCCCTTGTCCCTCTTGTTCTTTATTTATTTATATTTTTTATTTATAAGATGTCCTTAATTTTAACGAGCTGAATGGATGTTTGTTGTGATCAGTGCTTGCCATAGAGCTGCTAGCCGCCTGTCAGGGTATCGAATTCCTCCGTCCGCTCCGTACCACCACCCCCCTGGAAAAGGTCTATGACCTGGTGCGTTCGGTTGTCAGGTGAGGCAGCTTACAGTCCTCAACAACAAAAACCAAGGTAGTTAGTAGCTTTTTTTTCTAATGTTCTACTTGTACCGTTAACAGGCCCTGGATTAAAGACCGGTTCATGTCTCCAGACATCGAAGCCGTTCACCGTCTCCTAGTTGACCAGAAGGCAAGTTCTAAATGATTTTATTTCTAAACATTTGTAATTTTGAAGTCAAATAAACCTCAATGCATTTTACAGGAGAGAAATAAAACTTGAAATTTTTAATTTTATTTAATTTATTGGGTATTTGCATCCTAAGGTGTGGAACGTGGCCAAGCCTTACATTGACAAGTATCAGAGAGAATATGTCCCAGAGTCTCGACCCTGTTCTCCCACCGCCTTTTCCTTGGACACCCCAGCATCACCCAGGAAGCGTTTCCGTCATGAGTGAAACGGGCCCTAAAATTCAGTTACTTGGAATCATAACCAAGGAGCATAATGAGGATGAATTATTGGTAAAACCCTGTAAAGTTCCTCATTTGACAGTCAGATTTGTTCCTAACTCTGCAACACACATTACCGTTGGCTTATTTCTCTTGGAAATGATCATCTGTTGAACATCTTTATATTTTTCCCTACCATACAGAAATAAAACCTGTATTCCTCACGCTTACTGTTGCTAATGCAGTTTTTATAGCTTCTTTACTTTTTCATCTTTTAAAGGGACATTGTGTAACAATTTCTCTTTTTTACCGCCTGAAATCGATGACCTGCACTAATAATCAGATGCATTTTCAAAAGCCAACAATTTTAGTTAGTTTATACATAAGGCTGATCATCTGTTTGCAAAGCGCCATGACAGTTTGTCATCGTGAATCTAAAGACGCTGGCGACGAACAAAGTAGCAGTAACGCACGGAATAACAGCATGTAGCTAAGAGGCGATAGTGAAGATAATCTGGAGATGCTAACCCAACAACTTCTGAAGGACTGTAGCACAATGCAGGACCATGCATGTGCAGCAGCACAAAAAAATCCCCAAGAAAGTGGAAAAGAATAAGACATTTAAAACGACTGTAACCTGTACTGCTTTATGAATCATGAGGGATGGATGGATGATGATCTATCCATCATCATCCATCCTGCCTACCATAGAAAGCATAACAGTAGATCCTGCAAACATACATTGCTTGTATAGAATGGTAGGTTCACAAAGCCTACCAGCAAAGCTAAATGTGTTAAATGTGAGTTTAAAGGAATAGTACACCCAAAACATGATTAGCCTTCATTTTCTACTCACCCCCATGCTGAACAACACTCTGGAGTACTTTTTTGATATCTCAAATGCATCTGGAGATCTGGGAGGCTTCTTGCTGTCTGCTGACATTCAAATAATGGAGGTCTATGGCGCCCGAGGCAGAAAGGTCCATAAAAGTCCACAAAAAACGTGTCAATATTCCTCCATACTGCTCGTCCAATGTATTCCAAGTGTCCTGAGTGGGTAGCGTCCAGAATTTACTCGAAACGAAGTCATTTAGAATGTTTTAAGAGCATAAACAGTAGTGTATAGGATTTCCTGAAAGCGCGTTCACGAGTCTACGGAAACCGCGGCAGACCAAACCAGATGAAAGTGCGCATTCAGCTCGGCAAAGAAATCATGCTCTTCCTCAACACTGACACTCACTCATTTATATAGAATAAAGATTGGGAAAATTACCTATGTTTTGGTTGTTCTTTCCCTTTCAGCCACAGCAACCATAAGACGTTCCTTCCTACAAATGAAAATAAAAAACAATCCACTGGATTTTGTCTCCAAGTTTGAAGACATTTCGCTTTCCATCCAAGAAGCTTTTTTTTTTAAAAACAACCTAAATAATTTTTAAGTAAATGCTTCGTAACCAAACGGGAAATTTGGAATAATGATAATAGAATTGCTTAGGGTCCCCATAAAAGCATTAGAAGCTGGCCCTTTGCAATATCATCAGGCAAAGCTGCAAAATTTGTTAAGAAAAAGGAATTTTCCAAACGCTTTTCTTACTTATGTTCCCTTTTCAACATTTTTTACATTTGTCTAGGACAAGACTTTCGACTAGCATGTTTTTACCTGAGTATAATATCTCTGCTGAATGAAAGACTTTCCCATAAACTGCTTCCTCTGGGTTTATCGTCTGAAAATTCTATATTAATACGTTACATTTTGTTATAATGATTATAGAATCATATCTTAAAATAACAATGAGATTATATTTCTTAAAAAATATAGATACCATATAATTTTTATTTTTTTACTTTTTTCTTATTTCAATATTTGGAGCCCCCCCGAAAAAACACACGAGAAATGTATAATACAACCTTTTCTTGCCGTTGGTGCCAGTTCAAATAATTTCAATTACCGTAAATTCAGTATTGAAGAACTACTGTGAAAAAGACAATAATTAGGGAAATTCGGAAGAAAAAAAAAAAAAACACATGTCCTTCGAGCCGGATTCGAACCAGCGACCTAAGGATGTCTATGAATCCACTACAGTCCTCCGCTCTACCAACTGAGCTATCGAAGGATGTGTACAGATCCCTCCGCCACACAGATCACATAATATACGTCGCCATTTACCACATTATCTCTAAGTACTTTTTACTTTGAACAATACATTGTAATGAACATTACGTTTAACCCTTGGTCTTGCAATGTGAGGAAGTTAGTTTTAGGCTAGATGTCTGCGCTCTGCGAGGTACGAAGTTCGCTAACTGTTTGGACCGGTGTTAAACTATATTCTGTAACCCATTATATATTGTGACCAACAGCGGCTTCACATGTGTCTTACCATATACCTCTTTAGGTTTAGGTATATGTCTTAAGATCTTAGGTTTAGATATTAATTTTGTGATATTAGATATAGGTGTGAATCCTGCGAATTTAGGGACTAGTAGAATATAAACAGGTCACATCGCGCGCTTGGGTCACAATGTATGATGACAGATATTGTTGTAACACCTGTAGTGATCTAAATCCGTCCAATGCGCGGAGCAGGAATATCCAACTGAAAACTTACTTCACAGCCGCCATCCACCGTCATTAAGACTTAACAAGTCATCCAAAACCAGGTGATACATATTAGGGTGATTATTATATTAATAAACAGACGCTATCACACTATATAGGGGGAGCACGTGAGGTATATAAAGTCTATGTTTGTTTTTGTTTTTTGCCACCGTTTATCTAACTCGTGGCTTGCTTGTTAACTTTTTATTTACAAAAATGTACATAAAAAGGTAAATCTGGAACAATTTACTAAAAAAAAATTTACTAAAACAAAGTAAAAATATTGATTACTTTAAAATGCACAGGTGGGTTAAATAGCCAAACATTTTACTCAATAGAGGCCGATACTTTTACATATTTTTACTCAAAAAGTGAAAAGTAGCCAACCGAGAAATGACTCAATTATTTGGTAAGTAATGATAATTAATTTAATATATAAAAATGATCTAATCATAAAGACAAAAATATAAAGTTATTTATAAATATGTATTTTAAATACAAAATAAGAACTTCCTGGAATTATAGAGAGGCAATAGTGAAGATGCAACAACTCAGAAAGATCTGCTTCCTTCAGTTCTGAAGCATGAGTGTGAAACCACAAAAAGGTTTTAAATCGATAACCAGAGACTGAGAACAGATGCACCATTTCACCATTCCACCTACTAGTGCTGTATCTGGTGTTTGTCACAACGCGCTATTATCCAAGTCATCTTGAAAACTTTATTCTTCCAAATGTTGGCTACATATTATGTGTTTTTTCTCTAACTGACCGGTGTTGGATGTATTCCAACATCCAACTGTCATGCATGTGGGCATTGTCAGTTTAGCTATAGCACTGGTATTGTGTTCATTTTTTGACTGATTAACGCTAAATTCAATAAATCAAGGTAAACATATTATTTTAGGTATGAATAATGACCCATTGATTCTTCCTTGCTGACCGGACTTTTCCTTTAAAACATCACATGCAGCAATGAATTGTGGGAAAATCACTTCAGCAAAGTCTGCTTTCATGGGAAATTACCTAAAGTAATTGTCAGGATCTGCATTCTTTGGGTCATTTGATTCTAGTTTTCATCATTGCTGTGTTGTCTTCCTTTCGTTTAATTAGTGTGGTCTTTTCTAGTTTATATATTCTATGTTTCTAGTTTGTTCTTCATCATTGCATTTTCCTTTTTACTCCCCCTCTCCTCCTTCTCTTCAGCCTCTCTTCTCTCAGCCAGGCCTGTTGTTTCAGCATTCACATTCCCGGAGTTTAGCTTCCTCTCTTGCTCTCACTGCTGCTTCTTGTTATTAACCTGGTTATTTACTGCATCCTGTATGGATTTCTCTCTTTTTGTTCTCCTCGTGTTCCCTGTCTTTCATTTTATAAGTTCTGTTGACAACAGACAATTTGCTGCCTATCTGCATCTGAGTCCAACTTAAAACTAAACCATGACAATAATGGCTGAATTGACATGACAAATAGTTGAATTGAGATTCTCTAATTGAGCACCCTCAAAGACATTTCCGGTTTTAAATAACAATATTATTTAAGTTGATTATAGTTGTACTTTTTGCAATTTGAATAAACGTCCTCATTAAGATTTTAGACTCTCAGTTAAGCCTTGCCTGTCTAGACTAATCAAATCCAGTCAAAACTGAGCTCTTTGGGAGCTAAGTAAAAGAATAATAGTGTTGAAATTTTATAACATTTGTGTTTGGGTTCCTATTCAAGCATTCAAACATGAACAGGAAGTTGTATTTTAATAAAAAAAAAAAAAAAAAAAAAACATGAATACAAAGACTTAAAATTCCATCAAACTTAACAAAAATATAATAAACACAACTGAGGTAAGTGGATCCCATACCATGGCACTGCCACCATTGTGCTTTACAGCTGATTGCATTAAAATACATTTTTTTAAACCTTTTTCTGACTTCTTAGTTCTCACTTCTAAAGATTTTAACTAAATATTTAAACTAAACATTGATCCCCCTTTTCTGAGATTTTCCAAAACAGATTTACTTAAAACTAAATTATAAAAAGGTAGCAATTGTAACATAGAACAGTTTATATTATAGAGATGGCACTGAATGAATTAAAAAAAGACAGAAAATGGGCTTAATGTTTGCTTGAACATGGTTTTCTGCAAGGAAAACAATTTTCTTCAATGTCTTTCAAATTTAATGTGCTAGTAAAATCTAATACTTTAATATTTTGAGAGTTTGCTTGCAAGATTGAACTGATTTTGAACAAACCAAATAATCTTTTATAATTACTTTTGACTGTTTGCCATAATTTTGACAATGATTTTCCATCCCTAACTGCTGCTCTTCTTAATATGGGTAAACGGAGAATGTTCAAGAACAAACCCCAGAAAAACATCTAATTGTTGAGTCTAAGAGAGTAAAGCAAGTTGCTTGTAATGTGCATAGCTTTCTTCTAGCCAGGGGAATACAACGCAGATCAGCCCTGATTAGACATCCTTCCTGAGACGGGTTTCGTTCTGCTATGCAACAGATGATCTGGGAAATGCTGAAACATACCATGTAAATCCCCAAACACTCCAAGATTAAGCCTGTTTCCTTTGAAGCACCACAGTGACGAGATCAGCTGCAGAATTCCAGGAATGTTGAGGCTTGGATGCTTTAGGGAAAAGACTGAATATTTATGATCCCTCGTCTTTTCCTTTGACACACGACACTGATTAATAAAACCGATATTTTTCCGCAGTGTGAACAGACCCAGACTCTGTGTTCATTCTGTATACAGTATGGATTATATTAAAAGTCCTGATAAACCTCTTTTAACTCAGTCAGACGATGCATCTTTAAAATGAACAAATAGGCCAGAAGGCATGAGAGCAGCTGCAGGATTAATGAGTCAATGGCTGTTGTCTGTCTGAAGAGACAGACAAGGTGTGGTTAATGGATACCAGGTAAGACCTAATGATATGTTTCAGGAATAAGGAGGCAATCTTCATGTCTCAGTTAATATAGTTTACACCACCAGCAGCAAGCTTCTTCTAACAGACATGTTGGTCATTAAAGGCTGAAGTCCTGAATTGTTCTGAAACCTATTTTTTTTCATCTCATTATACATGAGAATTAAATGTAAAAGAACAATAAACAAGAAACTACTTGGTAAAATTACTTTTTTATATTCTGTCACCCTAACCCCAGTGTATTTGAAAGTATTCCATGTATTAGATCAACACCAAGAAACACATTAATGTAAAGTACAAGGAAAGTATTGCACTGTTTTACTAATAAAAATCTAAAAAAAAGTGTCATGTACATCTGTGTTAAAGCATCCTTTATCTTCTATTCACCTCTGACCATCTATGCTCACCCTGTTAAAGAAAAGCCTCCCTAAACCATGAGGCTGCCACCACCATGTTTTATCATAGAGATGGTCCATTCAGGTTGATGTGCTGTCAACATTCTGCATGCTGGCAAGAGAGATCAACTTTTTTCTCAACAGAGAACATTGAGAAAACATTATTGCCTATTCCAAAAAGGTAAAAGAAAATTAACAAACCACTGGACTAGCGATGCACGATATAATCGGCCCCCTATCGGTATCGGCCTGTATCGGCCTTAAAACTGAATATCGGACATCGGCCACCCCACGGATATTTAACCCGATATTTGATCAGCTTCTGAGTTTCTAAAGTCTAAAAAAAAATAAATAAAAAATACTACTTCTTCTTCTTCCTCAAAAACTTATTTTTTTACTGACTTAAAAACTTCTAAAGACAAGGGAAAAAATATTGATACATTAAAATATCACAATATCTTCATATGCTGATATATTGCCATTTAAAAACACCATATCAATCTCTTTTACTAATGAAATATTGCTATATGTCATCGTTATGCTACGAAATCCCCCGAAAATTCACGAAATTTTGCCATATTTTTATATGTTGATATATTGACGCGGTATCGATCTATTTTACTGACAAAATCTCACAAGAATTTGCAAAATTTCACGAGATTTTGAAAGTAAAATAGATCGATACCGCGTTTTTAAAAATCAATTTGATATCAGCATATGAAAATATATTTGAGTATATTATGTTTCAAAGTGTCAGAAATGGATAACAAAACTGCTATTTTCAATGACTACTTATTTTTGTCCAGCTTTAACATCGGTATCGATATCGGTTATCGGTTACATGAGTTGCAAAAAAAATATCGACATATCGGATATCGGCCAAAATCCCAATATCGTGCATCCCTACACTGGACTTTATTTTCCAAGTTTGAAGAAGCTTCCCTTACCATTCAGGAAGATTTTTCAATTCAAAATGTCTGGATTAGTGTTGAGTTCCAGGCTTTATAGCTTAGTTCAGTGGTTCCCAAAGATTTTCTTTAACAGCTCCCTGAGAGTTTTTTCTTTGTACTTTAATCCTCCCATCTTTTCAGTGGCTGTAGTGAGCCTGCTTGTTGCTGTAGATCTTCTCAAATCTGGGTTGCAGTGTCACAACTGTCCATTATGCTCAGTCAAGCAAGCGCTGTTTTTTTTTTTTTTTCTTCATTCATCCATACCGCTTCCCGCGCCCCCCCTGCAATGGCATTGCGCCCCCCCTAGGGGGCGCGCCCCACACTTTGGGAACCACTGGCTTAGTTCAACAGAGCTTTTTTATGGCTTAGAAAAACAAATTGAACCGGACGAACGGGTCCACCCCTTAGTTACGGAGAGTTGTTAAGGTCGTTGTTGGCCTGCCATAACAAGGCTTTGTTGGAACTCAAGGGTAATTGAGACGTCTTGATTTGAAAAAGTTTCCTGGATGGGAAGAGAAACGTCTTCACACTTGGAAAACAAAGTCCAGTAGTTTTTTTTTTATTTTTATTTTTTTTATTTTTTTGGAATGACTATGACCTGGATAACTGAGAATCTTCACCAGCACATTATTCCCCATGTTTTAGAAGAGTTCAATTGCTTTTTCCAACAAAAAATTTTCCTGCGCATGTGTACCCCTTTCCCACTGGCTGAAACCCCATTTCAACAACAGAACAATCGGCTTTTAGTGGCAGTGGGAACGTTACACTGTTCTGCGTTGACCTGAGTTAAAAGACATGACAAGGGACCTGGTTTAAAATTGCCTTTAAACAGATCGGCTCCAACTGACCTAATTCGACCCGCTTATTTACGTGATACCACTGAACGCGACTTACCTATGTCACAACACAGCAACAGTTGCACCAAACGAGCCAAAACACCTCTACTTACATTTGATTAACATGGTAGGAGAGATTCTGAGGGACAAAAGAACGAAACAATGAAGCACCCTGACTACACCCTGGCTCTCTGCTCTGTTGCTCTCATTGTTTACTTTCCTGATTTCTGTCACTCTGGTGACATCATCAACGCTAAAGGGCTGGTTATCCTCCTGCAGCTGTGTGTCGCAGTGAGCTTGACGCAGACATTTCAGTGTTGAAGCGTGGTCTGCGCTATACGCTGCGAGTCTAGATACGGCCGAGGCGATGAGGAAGTGGGGGCAAGTTTGTCCGACAACGGAGGGACATGACGGCAAAAAAGAGCGGGGATACAGATTGAAAAAGGATCTCAGCGTTCTCACACACCTCACTTTTCTAGCTGGTCCAACTTCACAAGTTATTTTCCGCAATTGCGGTCATAAAATCAAAACAAGCCGGTTTCCTGTCTGCTGCACTGTATGCGGTCACCTACAATTTGGAAGAGGTGCAGCAGAGTGCCTGCGGAGGGGGCGGGGACGTCTTTGCTTCACTGCGACACCTACACAGACGGCCTAGTTTCAAAGTATAAATCAGCCTTAACCCAGCGCGATGGCGTCACCAGACATGCAGCAGTCGGGGGACAGAGGCCACGCAGCTTGTCAGCGGGTGTCAGACCCCAAATTTTTTGTAAATAGGAAGAGAGGCAAATGCAGATTGTTAGCTGGTCGACCTGTGTTTGAAAAACTTTGTGTTAATCCGCTAATTTCAGTGGGTAACAGGCTCTATAGAGTGGTGGGTTATCTACTTACAGTCTGCAGAACTAATATGCAAAAGTGGTGCCAACTACCCTATTTACAGTAAATGAGGATTTGTGTGTACTATTGTCTCCACTGAGACTTTGGAAGAGCTGAATACATTTATTTTGGGCTTTATCTTGGGTTTTGTAACAGAACTGCACACAGATGGCAGGTATGATTGCTATATGGAAAAAATATGGGTAAAGAAGAGAAATGACTTGCTCTGTTTGGGTTAAATGAAAAAAACAAAAAGCAATTAGTGTCAGGTTTCTGTTTCTGTTATGTTTTTCTTTTGTGTATTAAGTCTTACTTTACTCCTGGTTTTCTAGTGTTTAGTATTCATTTCTCCATGTTTTATAGTCCTAGTTATTTAATTATCATTTTGTTGTTATTTCCAGTCTTCCAGGTTTATTTTTGTTGCTCTCTGCTGCCCTCTTGTGTTCTCCTTCTCCCCTAGCTCTTTCCCTCTCTTGTTCTGTGCACACCTGCTCCCAGTTTCCTCATTAGCCTCCTCTTTGTCTCAGTCTCCTTTAAAAAGCCCTCTCTCTTCAGTCCCCCTTTGCTGGGTCCTCGTCAAACATGCTCCAACTCTTTCTCTCTGTGCCTTCCTCGTTATGTTTGTGATTCCCCCGATGTCTCCATGGTTTCTGGTACGTTTAGACTAGTTTTCATGTTTTTGATTTTTTGGATTTTTGGACTTCGGGTTTCATGTTTGTTTGGACTTTGTTTTCCTTTTGGATTTTTGGATAACCTGCCTCTGTTTTCTGTTAAGTCATTATTAAACCCACAAGAGATTCACCTCTGCCTCCCTGCCTCTGCTTTTGGGTCAACTAACCATAGCCAAATCATGACAATTAGATGATTAGGATGCACAGAAACCAATAATGACCAAGGTCATAATCTCAATTTCTAAGAGAATTTTTACTTAGAAAAAAAATGTGCATCCTGATTGGTGGAAAGGTAGAACCAGTGGGGTGGGAATACCTTTGCAGGGCATTTGGCTTTTTAACAACAGTGCTCTAGTTCTTATAGAAAGTCTTTCTGTATGAGGTGTAGTTGGATAGGGGTGGGTGGAGCAAATATAAGTGCCCAATGTCAATGAAAGTTTCCACTGAGAACCCTGCAGTGCGTGGGATCATAGAGTGACTTTAAAATTGGGAGCTAAGAAAATATAAAGATGAACAGTGAATGCATACTCCCACAGATGTGTGTTTTAAACGAGGAAGAGGGATGCCATTTATTTATGATCTATAAATCGAGCCTTTAAATTGATTATTTATCAAGTCAGTGGAGTTACAGGATGAGACTGGGGACGCTCTTAGTTTTTATATGGATGTGCGCATCTTCTTCTCCATCAGCCGGTGAGTTATTTTACGCATTTCATCCAATTTATTAAAATTATACTTTATTTTTTTCTATAATATAGATATATTTTTTTCCTGTTTTTTTCTTTTCTTACCAGAGCATCTTAAAGTGAAGGATCCAGGTCTCCGGAGCCGCTGCTTTGGCCGAGCCTGCAACCCTCCCATGGGTAACCTCGCTCTGGGCAGGCTGCTCCGCTCTCAGTCAGTCTGCGGCTCCAACTCCTCGGAGCGCTTTTGCTTCTTTAGTCAGACTTCCAGCCCTCACAGCAAGCAGTCCTGCTCCGCACCCAAATGCAGCCGCTGCGACGCGTCCAAGCCCGGCCGGGCGCATCCTCCTTCGGCCATGAGCGACTCCTCTTTCCGCCACCCGGACACCTGGTGGCAATCAGCTGAGGGGGTGAAGGAGGAGACGCTCCAGCTGGACTTGGAGACGAAGTTTCTCTTTACTCATCTGATCGTGGTGTTCCGGTCCCCCCGCCCTGCTGCCATGGTGCTGGAGCGCTCCAAGGACTTTGGGCGCACATGGGAGACCATGAGGTATTTTGCCAGCGACTGTGAGAAGATGTTCGGCCTGGCAGAGGGTTCACCTGGAGGGGTCAGCGGTGCAACCTGCACCTCCAAATACTCAGGAGCTTCTCCCTGCACCAAAGGAGAGGTGAGGGTTCTCATAGCAAAACACAGCAGTGGCGGTTCTAGACCAAATGCACCAGGGGGTCAGGAGGGGCCCAGCATGTTTTCATGGGGGCACAGAGAAGCATAACAGGGCAAAGGATTCAAATACATTAAAGGAATAGTACACCCAAAACATGATTAGCCTTCATTTTCTACTCACCCCCATGCTGAACAACACCCTGGAGTACTTTTTTGATATCTCAAATGCATCTGGAGATCTGGGAGGCTTCTTGCTGTCTGCTGACATTCAAATAATGGAGGTCTA